AAAAAAAAAAAAAAAAAAAAATTACATGATAAGTGAAAGTGAAAGAACACCTGATAAATTTAAGGATAAAATGATTACTCATAAACAGAAAATTTGGAACAGTACTATAGCTTAACGATAATCGAATACATATACTTATTTTAAAGGAAGGAAGTACAGCACGTAGTTAATTATTGCTTTTTCTTGCTCCCAGAGCGATTAAGGACGAACACTTCTACGCTGTAAAACTAATCTCTGTCTAAACGCGCGTACATCCTGAATATCATCGATTTAATAGAGTAAGTAGAAGTCATGAACTTTCTCGAGTTCAACCAAGCGAAACGATATTACGAACACGAGAATGATTTCGATCGAAGGTTCAAGAAATCTAAACTTAATTACTTTGTTGAAGAATAAATTTATCAAAGTCGTATTTACAACTTTTAAATTTTTTCCCTCCCAAAGAATACAAGTGGATATAATGTGACTTCGTGTTACAATTTTTTTTTTTACGATCGAATAAGTATCGCGATAAATTTATGGCGACAGTAATATCCTTTCTCTAAGTAGAATACAAAAGATACATTTCTTGTCATTACTTACAAAAATGGTAATGTAACGTTACTCTCAGATACCGTTGCATGCCGCTCCAGTATTCGGTGGAAGCAATACTACGAAATACTGATATACTTCTCACTTTCATATTTTGCAATACTGTTCTACTTTACGATTATTTATATACGTATAAATTTCGATTCATACGAAAACGATAAATATCACGATAAAACGTGCTTAAACTTGTCTTGAAAAAATATGGCATTTCGTTTCGAACGTCTAAAACATGTGGGGATTACAAATCAGCGGAAAAAAGTCTGAACCTAGGGAATTTTGTGGAGCGTATCGCGTGACTGCCATCTATTAAGACACGATCTAAATGAGATCGATATCTCTATAAATAATGCAATTATAACATTCATAAATTTATCCTTCATTATCTATTATAAAATTGGCATACACGAAACGAAGGAATGAAGAACGTTGGTATACTAAATAATCCAAAAAAAAAAAAAAAACTCTATTGTAACTAAAAATGAAACAAAAATACTACTTTATCAACAATCGGCAATACAATCGGCAGAATCGATAGTAACTCGAATCAAAGATACGATATCAAATTTTATCATTTTCACAAAAATTATATGCTGCACCTTTTACCAATTCGAGGAACTTCTTGTAATTTTGACTGTTGCTAATTTTGGCCAAGTATGGTTTCGAAAAATCTTGGAATATTACTCGAACTGATTTTTTCTTCTTCTTCTGGTCTCGATTAGTGGCGCCGTCCTCGGCATCATTCGTCAAAAACTGCGTCTCCACCGACAAATTTGCATCGTCCACCACGATCTCGTCTATATCACCGTTCGAATCCCGCCAACAATGGACAACGATTTCGTCCACGTCGTCACTGAGCTCATCAATGTCATCGAAACTCGGAGTTGCTGTTAAATTCGAATAATATACATCCTCCTCATATTCCAGCGATTCGAACTCGTGTTCATTTTCACTTAGACAGTCCTGTTCATCATGCTCCTGACACACTCTCGATCTCGAACCTTGTTTCGATGGTTCGCGGCGATTTTCAATTTTTACCTCTCCTTGCTTAATGTCCGGCATATCGGTTTTCATGTCAACGCGATAAATCACTTTTTTTTTACGAAGCTCGAAGAATCTCGATTAAAATTTGTTGTGAAGGAAGTTGTTAGGTTAATTGTCATCAATGTTTGTAGAATAGTTGTCGATTCGTGAACGTGAAATTAATAATCTTTGTTTGTCAATTCATTTGATTGAAATTTGATGTTACAATTTCTACGATATTGCGAAATTGTGAAATATTTTTTTACCGCGGATTGTTTTTGGAGTTGATAAATTCGTTGATAAAATGCTTGTCATGTTAACCTTCAGACATCGGAGTTGATAGCTAGATCAATTTTGACACTTAATATAGAGTGTTAATACATTGGCAAAATATTTAAAAAAAAAATTAATTCTAAAGAAAAAGAAACAAATAAAATGAGACAGATCTCTATTTCACCGCTATCTCATTCCATTTATAAGTTAATAAATGAATCTCAATTGAAATTTTTATATGCTTTTGTTTATTTGGCTTTTAAAAAGAATATCCACAAACATATTAATATCTTGTAAATAGATTACGTAAATAAATCTATACTTTGAATCAATATTATGATTATATAAAAATAAAAAAAAAAAGAATTATACTTGCAAATATTATTAGAAAACGTATTGCTATTTCTTATACGAATATATTTTTTTTCATAATTATAAAAACTATTATAAAAAAAATTATAATTATGACGAAACTATACTAAATACTTATATTAAACAAGTATAAAATAGAATATTATAAAAAGGTAAAGAAAAATATAATGTAATATTTGATATATGTCAAAAATGATCCAGACATCGCCAGGTTATTAAACAAAATCTCTGGTTGGCGCGTCTTTGTTTCTTGCCTACCGGTGAAACTAGTTTTCTAGCAGAAACCGTTTACCGTAACTGCATCAGTTCCACGCTAAAACGACCACAAATGTCACAACGTATGCGTCGTAGACGAAATACGATGATTCCCACAACGATCTTCAAGTAAAACTAAAACTCATTCGTCGAAATCACTGGATCTCACTTTCGCAAAACGACACGGTGGCCAGTCACGCGTCACGCGGGTAAACAAACCAAGTTGAAGTTAGGTACGACAATGAATATTCCGCGGGAAATCGGCACTTTCAGCCATTTATATTTCTACGAAGTGAAATCAACAATCTACGAGTGGTATTGGCCACCAGCGATCTAAATGACCACGTGAATCGATCGGCGCGTGCAGACGACGATCACAGCTGGCATGATCATGCTTCGTTTTCCCGACGCGAACAGATCCTAAGTTCCGATTTTGACCAATCATGGCGCCACTATCGTACAGCCACGTATCCAAGAAGGAAAGAAATCGCGGCCAGTTACTCGTTCCTCTTTCGCGAAGGTGAAAGGGGAAGGGACCCAAGGTCCCCACCATCTTTGTGCCCGTCTTCTTTTAATCCTTAATAATAAATAAAAAAAAAAAATCTACTCTCGAAAATTTGGATGAAATTTGTATTTTAATAAGATTACATTTTACCAAAGGTATAATAAGATTTACTTTTTTCGATTTTGATCGTTATTGATTTTTTTTTTTTTTTTTTTACATATAGGTTTCGTGCATGAAGAAATGAAGCTGCCGACTTTGTTGTTGGTCGGTAAGTCGATCATGAAATTTCCCTTTCTCTGTTTTACGTCTACCTAACGTTACATAATAATATTGTAATTTAGTATGAATTCGATTGCTATTGAAAGATATAAAAAAAAATTATATTTTAATATCAACACAAATTTTTTTCTTTTTTATAACTCGTTTTTTTTATCGTGATTATAGATCGGCTCAATGCACACTTTGAGGAAGACAAAAAAGGAGATTTGTCGACGGTAAAAAAGTAGATTGAAAGTTGGGGAAAAAATATACGCCTGTTCTTGCGAAAGATCTCGTTGGATGGAGATGATGGAACGGAATCTTCGACGGTTCGTTGACTCTGGACGCATATTAAATTTCCACTTGCAACGTATAAAAATATGAATAAAAAGTAATATTACCAACTATATATATATATATATCTTAAAGTATATAAAATTATTGTAAAAGTGACAGTATAGATAATAAGAGAAAGCCAACTATGCTTATATAATTACTTTTTTCATTAGTTTTGGATTTTATAGAAACTAGGCAAAAATTGATTAGAATATTCGTTATTAAATAATTTTTCTATTTTAAAATATTATTGATTCTACGATAAAAAAATAACATGAGAAAATATTTTCCTTAATATTTATAATAAATCATCATTTCTAGCAATCATCATTTTTAGCAAGATTTTCGTGGAAAATCTCTCAACCTAAACTCCTACATCTCTTATTAAATTCTATGTTAAAATTAGATGTTATATGAAGCGATTGCGTGCACCAAATTAGAGTACGATATACGAATCAAACTGTAATTTTCCAAAAATCACTTGTACAATTAAATAATTATAATCTTCCACATCGAATAATGCATACACATGTTTAATAACGAATTAACAATGAATGAACACGCAACACACTAAATAATGTAAATACAATTCTATTTAAAGATCGTGAATGTGCCGGTTATCAAAATAGCGGAAAAGGTAAATGAGAAGCGTGATAAATGATGGGTAAGTGTATTTTATAATAATATCGAGAACACAGGATAAAGCTGATAGAACGGAATCTATGTGGAACCGGTTCATCCGCTTCTTTCGGTTCGATGAAGTTCTAAATACGGCCCTCCCTCGGTAACAGGAACCTCAAGGTTAACTGCTGGCTGTCGTAACAATCCACGGATGAAATGACCGATCGTTTGAAAATACGCTAGTTAAAAAATTCTTTTGCCATTCTGTAATTATTTTGCTGCTGATATCGACTCATGACCCGAACGAATCGAGCTTTCCATCCCCGGTAACGTGACTTATTCAAGTGGGTCACAAAAGAAAACTCGAGACGTCGTGTCAGTTGAAATCCTGTATTTTTGATTAAGTCTAGAATGGAATAATAAATCTGATTCTTTTTTAATCTATCTTTGCAAATTCTTTTTTTTTTTCTTCATGGACGAAGATATAATTAATTTCATGCTCTATATATGACAAAGTATTTTAATTGAATAATTAAAATAATTATGTAATAAATATATTTATTTTAAATTGTGCATTATGTTTTTTTTATGAGAAAAAAAAAATTATAAAAGATATATTTCCAATTATTAATAATTGATGGATAATAATTTTTATAAGTTTCCAAATATTTGATTTCAAAAGGTCAAGGATTCTGAAACAAGAATATCTGTAAGTAATACAATTTCATTAAACTTTCTATTGATTTCGTATCGACATATATAAAATTGGAAACTGTTCTATGTCATTTTATTAGAAATTTGAGATATTGCAAGGAAATAAAAGAGATCACTATAAATAGAAACCTATATCAAAACAAGATATAATTTCTTTAAGGAGAAAGGTGAAGTGGAAGAAAAAAAAAAATATGTGAATAATGCCATAGAAATAATAATGCAGCAACGTGTTCAAGAAACACTAAGTAATAACATAAGAACTAAACATAACACGCAATAAAATTAGTTTAGAATGATTCATTCAAAAGATTTTAATCAATGATGAACCTTGATCTAACAGACCATGGAAAATAGATAACAATATTATGAATGAATTGAAGTTATAATATGACTATCTAAAATAGTTTACATTAATTTTATTATATACATGGCAATTAACTAGATCTATTCCAAATAATATGAGAAAAAAAGAAAAATCTTTATGCCATTATAACTTTGCTATCTCTTTTATTATCATAAGTCAAATACAAGTTATCATAAGCATATGTAAAAGGTATACCGCATAAGTCATGTAATTATTTATTGCACTATAATAAAGTTATAAAAAACATTAAAATATGTTTCATGTAAATATTACATGGTATTATTATTTTTTTTTGCAGATAAAAGATCCATTATTTATTCGTGTATAAAAATGCATTAAAAAATTATATTCTTTTCCATATCTAATTTAATTTTTGTACAAAATAATTTTTTTTAGAACAAACAATGAATTATTTGAAATGATCACGTTATCCTGCATATAATTACCAAATTTCCGCAAAATATATTACCCAAGCAAAATCGCGTTTACGTGATGTCAGCTGATAATTCCATAAAATCACGCATACGTGGCAACAACAGTGTCGATTCGATTATTTTTAAATTTCAATTTTATTTTTACCATTTCGATCTCTAATAGTTAATTTTTACAATTTCTTTTATAGATTGAAAATAAAAACGAAGAATCTTATCGATATACGTTTAATAAAATTATTACACGTGATTTCTAGGAAATCGAGGGATCAATTCGTGGACCTTCCTTCAAGTTTCTCGAAACACGCGATTCCGGAATTAAGAGGCAGGTCCGACGTTGGTTTGGGTGAAGATCGATAAAATTGCCGTGCTAAGTATTCACGATGCTAACGGCTCTCGCCATCCTGGATAAGGTGGTAAGTGAACTTTCTGAACGTTATAAAGTTTCGCCAGATATCGACATACATTGCTCATAATAAATTGTTTTCCAGGTAAATTTCGCTTAAATCGAATCTCAGACGATTCCATTTATGTGAAAGTGGAGTGAAAAAAAGAGGAAAAGATAAAGGAAAGTGGAAATCAAAGTGTGATTTACACGATGGTTGACTTTCTAACATATAATTAATGACATAATGTTTGTTAATGAAACAGGAATCTGGAATTAATATTTGAAAATTGTGGATTAAAAAAAAATAAAAGGAAAATTTTTTTCCTTGTATATTTTAATTTTTTCTTATTTTTTGGAATACAGAAGAGAATATAATACTTTAACTTGTTAAATTCAAATAATAAATTTTTCAAAAATATTGTTTAATAAACCTATGAAATGTAAAATTAAAAGGTTCTGATAATCAATATTTTTTTAAATAATCGAAAATTCCTTAGATATATTTAATTGCAGGATACAGAAACAATTGACAGCGAGTTGAATTTAAAAATTATTATCTTATAATTAATTATTAATTGACAGGAATTTTTCAATAATTAAAATAGAATTTCTAGTATTTTTAAACTAGAATATTCTTATTTCTAATTCTATCCGTGCATGATAACTTAAAATGTAATTGCATAAAATTTAATTAATCATTATAATTATTTCAACTTTAATTAAGAAAACAAATTTTTTTTTTTAATTTTAGCCATGCAATTTATATGCATGAAATTAGTAATATATAGTAATTTATTCATCGTGAAGTCGTATGTTGTCCAGACAAGCAATAAAAGCAATATTAGCAAGACAAAGGAATGGTTATTGAACGTGCAAGGGAAAAGCAGACAAAAGGTGAGGTATTAAACGAGCGTTGTACACGCGTTGTTGGCAAAACGTTTCCTTTGTCTTTAATTAATTTCCGGTACAAGTGGAGGAAGCATCGTGACTTCGATTTTATCTTATTTACATTAAAAAAAAAAAAAAAAAAAGAACGGTCGTTATATAATTTTATTTACAAAATAATTCGAAAAGAAAAATAACAAATATCTAAATGAATAAAAGATTAGAAAATAGAAGATTAATCGAGTTGAGGACTTTTATTGAATAAAATCGCGAGTTAAAATGGCGTCGGAACTTTGAGCGAACATTAGGAATTTTTGTTTTACAGTCTAATGGGCACAGACATATTTGCGCATCCACGCAAAACCGAATCTGAATTCTACATTTTGATTTAAAAGTCGAAATTGAAAAAATTTCAACGAGTTTATTTCTTATAATGACATAGTATATTTAAAAATTTCTTTATTTTAAAGTGAAAAAATTAGAGGGAAAAGAAAATATTAAAATAGAAGATGAATAGTTAAAAACAATAGATAGTTATGCGAATATTGATAAATAAACTAAATTAATTTTAATTATTCTTCGATTAAATTTAATTCGATTTATTTTTAAATATGATAAATTAATTTATCGTATTTTTTATTCGTAGTGAAATATTAATAATGAATAAACAAACTAGATAATTAAACAAACTCTTATACAAAGTATAAGTTGAGAAGGAGTCTGCAGACTATAATTAAGTTCTTAATTTGCTAATCACCAATTATTTTTAACAAAAGTTTTTTCTATAACGTAGATTATGAATTTATGAATGTTGACTTTCACTTTCACCATTTATATAGTGAACAAAAATAAAAAAGAAAAAAGAAATATTTTATAAAATCAATAGTTAGTTCTTTCATGGTTCATTATAAAGGATATTAATATTAATATTAATAGGATATTAATAATTAAATTCATGAGATATTTTTAGATTCTAGAGATTATAATAAATATAAAAATTGATATACAAAGATATCAATTATTTATTATCTTATAAGCAATTTAATTAAATAATTTAATTATCATACAAAATAATTATATGATAACACATTCTAGGTTTATATGATAAGCTTATGGACGAGAGATTATATATCATAAACGCAAAATAATCAAATAACGTAATATTGTAATATATATTATAATATTTCATAAGAAAGAAAAGTGGTTAATAAAAGCATTCTGTTTTTCAGAAATTAATTTATGGGAGTAGCAAGTTCATCAGATTATTAAATTAACCGAGTGGAGAGATAAAATTAACAAGAGAATTGAATTAGTTAGATTGTTAATATATGAAAATATGAGTAATAAAATTTATCATGATTTAATCAAATAAAAAAATTAAAAAGATTCTTTATAAATTTAAAAAAAATATATATCAGTGAATTTTTCCTCTAAATATTTGTAATTTTGTATAAGAAAAATTTATAATTTTATTCTTTTGAAGAGATAGTAAGAAAACTTATTCTGAAGAAACAGTAGTAGAAGTAAAGAATAATAAAATATTTTCTTTTTTAAATATCATTTTCTTTGATATAAATTTTCTTTGATATCCAAAGTAAAGAAACAAATCCATTACTTTGAATCAATAGCCTAAGATAAAACTTCTTTGAAAGAATCAAAAGAAAAACAGATAAGATTAAAAAAAATTCTATATAATCCAATTATTCTGTTCATCCTATCATCTATAAACTTTATTCCCTTCGTTAAGAAACAAAATGTATTTATAAAATTGAACAAACATATACAAGAATATAACAAAAATATAAAGTACTGCGATTGTTATATAAATTTTTTCCCATATAGGAACACAGCATATATATGAGAAACAATCATGAGAAATAATCAAACGAAAAATTGAATCGTTTGTTCGATATGAAACGAGATTGAAAAGCTAATTTAAAATCGATTCTTCGTGAAGCAACTGTATAAACATTTTTTTTTTTTTTTTTGAAGTTATAATATTACGTTGCAACCAGAACAGCGCGACGCGATTTCCGCGAACACGACACCATGGCTGCTTTTACAACTTTCTCTTTGGGATTGTCTGTCGAAGAACGAATGAATTATGCTTGGTTTATATTATCTGTTTAAGACATGAAACGATATGAGAATGATTCCGACAAATATCAGACGATACATCATATCAAAACGTATGCACGTATGAATTTTTAAACTTTAATTCATTGTGTATTATAAATGATATTTATATGATAAATATTATCAAATTTTAGGTCCAATTAAATATAAATTTTATTATGGTTTAATCTGCCTGGAAAATGATTTTATTTTAGGAAATTTTATGTTTATATTTGAAGCAGATATTTGTGACAACATCATTTTTTGTCATAAGTTATTTAATATTTATTTATATTTAATGCAAAATAATTAAACGGATTCCAAAAGATTAAAAATTCTAATTTTTGAGATGTAAAATGCTATATAATATAATATAATATATAATATATAGTATAAATTAGATCTAATCTAAATTATTTAATTATCCAGATATTCGAATTCTATTTTAAATGCACAAATATAAAATTATTTCAATTATCAAAATATGGAAAATACGTAAAAAAAAGCAAAACTAAAAAGAAATTATCTCTCAAGAATCTTAGGTTTGATTCTAGACAGGATATTAACAGCCCCATTATGCAACTTATATGTATTCTTCCTGTTACTTTAAGTTTTCAAGATGATTTTAAAAATATCTCATCAGGATATTAAAAATGTAAGAAAATATAAGGAATCTTATATTATAAATTATAATAAAAAGAAAAAAAAAAATCATGACCTTTGTCTTTCGAAAATAGATGACTCATGCAATATCCATCGATAAGCAACGGATGGAAAGGTTAACCATCCTCCTTCCGATTGATTCGTGGAAAAAAAAGCGAACGTTTCGCGTAAATCAATTGACGCGATACTTCCGCTCACGGCGGGTTTATGAGCACGTTGAACGGGAAATATTTGCACTGAAAACAAGGAGGCCGTTAATGTGAAAGGGGTAGGGAGATGTGAGCCGTTAGGACATGGAAGATAAAAACGTGCACAGAAGTGTGCCTTGTTAATCTTTGACGTGGGCCGCGAAAATAGACACGATGAACGAAATAGAGAATTTTCAGTTGTATCAGAAATAATTTTTTTTGAGAGACTGTTCGTCATTTGAATTGCACGATTCATTAATTTTTGAGAGGATTGTTGAATGAATCAGAAATGTTAGGCAAAGTGAATGAATTATATACACGGACGTATGTTATTACGATTGTATTCGTATTACATTGAATTTCCATCGTATTCGTAATTATGAGAATTTCTTTTTGAAAAAAAGTGTGAAATATATTTTAAATATAATAAAGGAGAAAAGTGATATGATGTAAAAATAATTGTGAGAAAAAAATATTCTAGAATTAAAATATCACTTTTCAAAATAAATTTTTTAAACGTATAATTCTTTTTTCAGAAAAATCCTCATTTGCTCTTTTATAAATTGCTCTTTTATAATTAGTGTATGCTATATGTTATATGTACACTAATATATTGAATAAAGATAAGGATAAAATATTTATTTTAAACTTAACATGTCATAATACCTAGAATATTATCTTAATAGAATTCTTGAAAATTTTCATAAGTGACACGTATTTATATACGTACAGCTATTGTATCATATTAAATAACAAAAATATACTGTATAAAATTGAAATATAATATAATATGTAGGAATATAATATATATTCCTATATATAAATATATTCAATTATTAATATAATTAATTGTAATATTATAATATTTATTATGTAATATATTACATATTATTATAATATTTTCTATATGATTTTATCATAATACATATGATAATTTTAATTCTACTAATAATTTAACTGTACTTCCACTAAATACAGTTAATATAATCTCATAGTTTTTCTTCTAAATATTCTATTTTCAATCCTTATAATATTTTTGCAACTTTCAGTAGAAATAGAAGAACTTCAGAACTCTTTGCAATAAGATATTAAGTATTCTAACAATAAGTAAATATTAGTACTAATATATCTAATGTCGTGAAAATATTTATATTTATACGAACATTCTTAGAGCTTCTAATACTTTGTAATACAGTATTATTCTACTGTCTTTATTATTTTCATATTATCCCTAATATAATTCACTTACATTATACAATCAGTATTAATATACTTTATGAAAGGAATATTTTTCCAATGATAAAAATATTATTTTATTTATTTTAAAATATATCTTTACTATTAAATTTTATATCTTTCCTTATACTTTCAATATCCTCATATATAAAATTTATATATATAAGATATTTGAAAAATATGAAATATTTAAAATATGAAAGAAAAATAATTTTAACATATTTAATTCTATTATTTTAATTTTTATATCTTAACGAAAATATAATTTTCTTTTTTTTTTCATACTATGTGATTTAGATATCACAAATATATCTGTATTTTTAAAATTATATACAAAAA